TGGGCCCTTTCTCTCCAAGCCATTGAGGCAGATAAGAGAACCAATTTTAAAGTAAAGCCCACAGACTGCCCCATAATTCACCAACCCAACCATTTATTTCAGTCAAACCATTGAGTCTCAGGATGTGGCTGATACAGATGGGCTTCTTAAGTGAGGCCTATTTGTATAAACAACCACTCAGGTAATGAGATCATGGGCTTACATCCTATGAAAACAGAAGGAAGAACACACGTGTTAATTCACAAAACATCCCACAAACCAGTCTGAGTCTGCGAGACTGTCTTTTGGGAAGACATTGCAAGGCCTTTCCAAGGCATGCCACTTAACAGTGACAATTAGACAGATCCTTCTTGCCTGTAAATTGAGCACCTCTGGTGATGCCACAAACCCAGTTTCAACTTCCAGATGCAAACAAATTTTGAAGACAGCTGCACTAGTCTAATATCTAAAATTGCGCATTGTGATTTCCCTTGAATCATAGTTTTTCTCCCTGGGATCACCCTCATTATCATTAAAGGGACTGCATTAAGTCCAGTTTTAATTTTGCCTGTTTGCATAAATACAACCAGAGCAGTAATTGATCTCATATGACCTTCAAGTCTGCTTTGCTGGAATTTACACAAGGAACATTTAGATTGACTCTTCAGTTTGCCCTTCAGGGCACAGAAGCTGAGCCACACTCACCTGCTATCTCGCCTTGCTTGTACCACTGGCTTAAGTCCTGAGGCTTCCACTGTGCCCTAAAGTTCCTCCCAATATGGGGAGCGGCCATGTGCCACATCTAATATGGTGCAGCACCCCCGTGATGCATATCAGGTGATTTACCCAAAACGGCAGCACATCCATGTGGCTTAGTGTCTGAACCCAGCATGCATGTGGGCTCGGCTCACAGAGCCTAGGGGTTCCCTTCCTCCCCAAACCTGTTCCCTTACACCGTTCTGGCGTTCCCGGCAGCTGGCACCTTGAGCCGGGGTGCAGTTCCCTGACACTGGGGAGTCCCCACAGCCATGCCCCAAGGGTCAGTCTGCCCGATGTGTCCGGAACCTGAGTACGGGTTCCTTTAGTCCCATCTGGGCTCCCCAAAACTGTGCAGCCAGCTTAAGATAAGAATGTGGGCAACTGCGGGGTTTGCTTTTGGCTTATAGCCTTTTGGGCAACAAGGGAAGTACTGGGTCTCATGAGAGAACAGGGCTCTGAGCATAAGTGCTCTGAGCGCCCCCAAGGTTGGAATACTGTAAATAAAGACCTGTTCCTTCCAACGCTGATTGTTGGCTTGTTCCCCAAGGCACCACGTGGACGGGCCTCGTCTGCTCGGTTACAATAGGACTCATGACTACCACAAAATTCTAAGACTAATTCTACCAATCATTTTATGAAAATTTCTTACTCAAAAAATCTGTCTTTCATTTTTGATATTTCTTTTTCTCAAATTCAAGTTTTCAAAAAAATTCAGTATATTTCATAATATTCTCTGCTTAATTCTCTTTTGTTACTTTTTAAAAATCTTTTTAAAGAAAATATATTCTCCTATTTAGTATGAAGATTGCTGGGTTTTCTTTCCCCCAAGAAGAATGATGTAAAATTTTAATGACCATTGTTATATACCTTAAACATACAGTATTGTTTTCATGTAAATATAGCTTTTTTTAATCCTCATCCAAGGGTATACTTTTTTCATTGCTTTTTAGAGACAGGAAGAGAGAGAGAGAAAGGTAGAGAGAGAAATACTGATTTGAGAGAGAAGCATCGATTGGTTGTCCCTGTATGTGCCTGGACCAGGGATTGTGCGTGCCCAGACTGGGGATTGTATGCGCCCCAGACCTGCAATCTAGGCATGTGCCCTGGCTGGGAATCAAACCCATAACCTTTCAGTTTCAGGACAGGATGACGCTCCAACCAACTGAGCCACACCAGCCAGGCCTGTAAAAATGGTTTTTAAAAAATTCTCTCTAATTGAAGCAGCTGTATAATAGAAAGGAAATTTTAATACAGCTGTCTCTTAATTTCACTATTCTAGCATAACCGCCATTTCACCCAATATGTATATAACTTTATATAGCTGTGATTACAATACATATATAATGTTGGAATCTGCTTTTTTAACCTCATGTTATTTCATAAACATTTTTTCACATTGTTATGTGACCTTCATATTTATCATTTTAAATGCCTATATAATATTCTTTTAAGTTATATTTTTTTCATTAGCCTATCACTGAGGTTGTTTTCAATTTTTTGCTGTTATATTTGGTATTCCAGTGAATATCATGGTACCGATACTTCTCCGTGTGGAACATCTCTGTTCTTTGGAGTTACTTTGTGACAATAAATTTCCAGAAGGACAATTCATAAGTCAAACAGTATAAGCCATTCTTTTCCCATGGGTAATGGTAGTGGTGATGGTTGTTAAATACGTGATTATTTTCAGTTTGTTACTTATTTGTTTCTATGTTTAAGTTCTATTGCAGTTGTATTTATTACTTATAAACTTGAATGATTCTTATTGCTGTCTGTTGGGATTTGGTATACATGAATTAGACTTCTCTGATATAAAAACTTCCATAAAGCTGCAGGTCTGGAGGAAGTCCCATAAATACAGTAGGAACATTTTATAGGTTTCAGTGGGGATTCTATAACTGTACAGTGGAAAATCTGTTCTGCAGTGGCTTAGGGTATAATATTACTCTCACTTAGCAGTTAAGAAAAAGAAGCAACATAAAGAACAGTGTAAGGAAGTTAGAGCAATTTAAGAAATAACTAAATCTACTAAATACTCAGGAAGAAGCAAGTTAAACTAACAGTTTAAAACATACTTAAAGCTAAAGACCACATACACTCTCATTGTCTCAGAGCTTGATTCTTTACAGGGAAATTAATTGTTTTATTTTCTTTTTTATATGTTGTGGAAATTTACAGATGAGAGACTTATCCCCAGCCTTAATAAATGATTTGTTCTTTTTCATAATTCTGTATATGGGGCGGGGGGGAGTAGGTTTAAGTTGTGAGTACACAAAAGTTTATTCTTGTGTTATTATTTATTACTTCCTGTATTATTTTTCATATGTACAACTACATTTGCCCCACCCTGTATATTTATATATACAGAATACTAAGTATAGTTGCCAGCTCAGAGTTATATATGTGATTGTTCTCATATATTAAAATAAGTCAAAACAAAATATTCTAATCTTATTCATTAAAGCAAGTGACAAAGCTGCTTAATGATTATTTACATTGTAAATAATTAAGTTTTATTTAAAATACTGGTGGTTAAAGTTTCATCTGTGAAATTGAGTTTTACATTATCACTTGCTTTTCCTGGGGACTTCAGTATACCAGTTTTAATTTTTCTTAAAAGAAAGCAGTGTCTCACCTTTCGGTGGTATATTTATAGGCAGTTCACTGGAATATACCCTCTCATATCTGATTGCATACACATTACTTAAAGCAGTGCCAAGTTTATCATCATTCTACCCAAACCAACTTCTTATTCTGTCATTGTTACCCCCATTTTCTTTTTTTTAACCCCCATCCAAGGATGTATTTATAGAGAGACAGACAGACAGACATTGATGTGAAAGAGAAACCTCGATCCTAGGTCTGTGCCCCGTCCAGGGATCTAACCCGTGACATTTTGGTGCATGGGACCACGCTCCCACCAACGGAGCCAGCTGGCCTGATATTCTTGATATTCCGTTTTGAGACCATGAAATCATTTCTGACTCTTTTTATTCTACTCCCACAACGTCTAGTTAATCTCTAAGACATAAGTTGTTGCTGTTGTTGTTTTCTCTGACAGTGTCTTTCCTTCCACTCCTCTTTCTGTTCTCATTGCTACCACCTTCCTCCTGGGACTCGTGACTCCCAGACCACTGCAGCAGTCTTCTAATTGCTCTTCCTCCGTTCATTGTTCTCGCACACTACTACACTGTTCATTCTTGAGATCCTCTGATTCTGACCATTCCCAGCTCCTAACTTACCTACAATTACCCAAGAGAACCAATCAAAATGGATTTTTTTATTGTTTCCTGTATAAACCGCCTATACTCCCAGCTTCATACACATATCAGTTAATGTTTATCAGTCACCATAATGATGCATATCAAGAATTTGATAATATACCCCTTTCTCCTCAGTGAGATAGCTGTAGATACCATATAATAGTAATGTTAGTGATTTTTTTTTACAATTATCAAAAGCTATCTAGAACTTGAATTTTTGAGTATGTGAGTTCATTATTGTTTAGAAAAATGGTTTATTCCAGGAAATCACATCACTTACTATAGTTTTACCACTTGCAAAAATGAAATACAAACTTTGTAAAAACAAAACCAAACAAAAGTCACCCCTTTGTAAAAAGATGCTGCTTTTATTCCAAGAAAGACATTGCGTGTGTGTGTGTGTGTGTGTAAATAATATCTTCTCATAAAGGGAAAATAAACTCTGAGGAAAGCGCCAGTTCTTAGAAAGGCAACCCTTTCGTATGCTATATCAAATAGTCTGTAATTTAAATATAAGTGAGCCCATTTATAGAAGTTAAGACAGCCAATAAGAAAAGTCTAAAGTTGAAAAACTGAGGGTAAGTACGAAATATTCTACAAGTATTATAAAAAGAGCATTCAAAAACTATAAAGGATGCCCTATTCATAAATTAACAAAAAAAGCAAATGTATTTAGCTTTAGAGTAAAATACGGTAAACCATACCAGCACCCAAATAATCATGCACCATAATAGTACTGCTGGGACATTCAGCAGTTCTGTCCAAAGATGGCTTGGGGCTTGCAACACAACCAGATTTAAACAAAGAAACCTTAGTACTTCAGGGTTGTACCAGCACTTATCAAAAGGAACATCTAATACAAAATATATTCCTTCGGCACGCAATTATTTTGTATCATTGGTCTTTGAGTAATCTAGAGTGACAGATGTATCCCCTGCTGCCCTTTTCTGCCTTCTTCAATTATAAGGCATGTTTTACAATCATTTTATTTTTTGATAGGGATCATATGCAATGGTCAAAAGAAGAAGCAGCAGCAGCCAGAAAAAAAGTAGAGGAAAACTCAGCGGTGCGAGTCCTTCTAGAAGAGCAAGGTAGGCAACTAACCGTTGTAGCTCCTGGGGCCTGGCTTTTCTGTTTGGCCTTCTACTAATTCAATTCACACCTTAGTGTCTTTTCCTCCTAATTGTGTTGTTTCTTTGGACAGTTCTTTTCTTCTACCTATGCAAATCTACTTGTTCTGTTTGGGAGAATTCCCAGTTTTTCTAGTATAGGGGTACCAAAGTTAATGAAATAAATTATGTATTTACTTTGCTCTTGCTCTCTTTTTTTGTCATATGGTTGCTTTTTCTAGAAGGAATACACACATGGGTGACATTTCAAACAGGATATGAAAACATAACTTTAAAGTTTTCCTCTTGCTATAAGTTTTTCAATATGCTGTTGTGCATTTCACTTGTTAGGAATGTTCAACAAATTCAAAAACTTTGCGCAAAGCAGGTAGTCATATCAAAATGTTGCTGGTCTTTTGGGGTAAAAACAAAGTTCCAATAAAGATTTAAGGTACTTTTCTTGAAGGCCATTGATATGAGTTTAATTAAAATAAGGCCTCACCAACCTTGAAAAATGGCTTCTAAAAAATTGACCAATGTCCCTGGCTGGAGTGGCTCTGTGGATTGAGTGCTGGCCTGTGAACCAACCAGAAGGTCACTGGTTCGATTCCCAGTCAGGATACATGGCTAGGTTGCAGGCTGGGTCCCCAGTTGAGAGAACGTGGGGAGCAACCAGTTGATGTCTCTCTCACACATCAGTGTTTCTCTCCCTCTCTTCCTCCCTCCCTTCTCTTCTCTCTAAAAATAAGTAAATGAAATCTTTTTAAAAATTGATCTATGCTACTATCACAAAAACAGAAAATGTGTTCGTGAGGATATAGAAAGATGGGAATCCTTATGTATTATTGGTGGAATTGTAAAATGGTACAACTTCTATGGAAAGCAGTATGGAAGCTCCTTAAAAAATTAAAAATGAAGCTACTATATATGTACTAGCAACCTCACCTCTGGACATATGACAAAAAGAAAGAAAGAAAGAAAAACTTGAAAGCAGGGTCTTTAGAGATTATTTGCACATCCATGTTCATAGCAACACTATTCACACCAGGCAAAAGGTGGAAGCACCCCAAATGTCCATCAACAGATAAATGGATAAGCAAAATGTGGTATATACATACAGTGGATTATTATTATTCAGCCTTAAAAAGGAAGAAAACCCTATAAGCCAGTCACAGAAGGGCAAATACTGTATCGATTCCACTTATATGTGCTATCAAATGTAGTCAGATTCATAGGAACAGAAAGTAGAATTGCGGTTATGAAGGCCTGAGTGATGGGGAAACACAGAGTTGCTGTTTAGTGGTTATAAAGTTCCAGATTTGCAAGTTGAAAAAGGTCTACACATCTGTTTTACAACAGTGTGAGTATGCTTAACACTCTAGGACATTTAAAAATGGTTGAGATGGTAAGTTTTACGTTAGGTGTTTTTGTACCACAATTTTTAACAAGCATCCCCCCAAAATGGCCTCTGTCCTCACTACATTGCTGGGAAACTTTGCCAAACACCTACACTGTCTAGACAGTAGTTTTATCCTTATTTTCCTTAAAATCACTTCTTCTTTAAATCATCTTGGTTCTTTTTCCTTTAAAAAAATAGTTTATTGAAGTGCCAAATACAGACATTTACACAACTTATAAATCAATTCTCCCAGAGCTCACTGAATTTTCCAAACACCCACATTAAGAAATAGAATATTACTAGTAACCCAGAAACTTCCGCATGTTCTGTCCCAATTACTATACTTCCCCCAACTCCTCAGACCCTAAGACAACTAGCCACTATTCTGGCTTCTAACACCATAGGTTAGTTTTGCCAGAACAACTTGGTTCTGGCCATGACCATTTCTTCATCTCTCTTGTAGCAACAGTGCACCCCTTAGATAGAGCAAGTGTCAGCAAACTTTGGCCACGGGCCAAAACCAGCCCACCACCCATTTTCTATAAAGTTTTATTAGAACAGACTCATTTGTTTGCATATTTCTATGGCTGCTTTTGAGCTATGTTTATAGAGCTAAATAATGGCAACAGAGACCATGTATAGCCCACAATGACTGTTTACTATCCTTTACAGAAAAAGTTTGCCAACCCCTGAGACACAATTTTCAGGACAGATTGATCAGCTGTCCTGGGACTCTCTAGGGAAAGACATTTACATTCCTCTGTACAAGCCAAGCATAGTGAAAATCACTAATCCCACTGGTAGGTATTTTTCTACTTGACTTTAGTCTACAATTGAAGAAGCTGAGCGAATGAGACAGCCCTCATTGGCTGCCTGTAACCAGTGAAGGGGACAGTGCTGCCCTCTTATCCTCTAGCATCATTTGCTATTCCTTAGAGCTTGTTCTCTTTTCTTACTCTAAGCTGGAATGTGTCCTGGAGGCGGCGGGGGTGGGGGGGTCAAGAAAGAAGAGTACCTGACCCATGATGGAACCATTCCGTTTTTATGAGCCCCAGCCATGCAGCCCAGAGTGGGATACGGCCAGGGAGCGTTGGGGTCGGATTTGAGGGTGCATACCAGTGGCAGTGCTGCTTACAGATCAGCCAGCATTGCATTCCTTTGCAGGAACTCTGTCACACTGTTTCTGAGGAAGTATAATTTTGCTTCTTTGCCAGCAGCTGCACAGACATATTTTCCACATTACTCAAGCTTCTGCTAGTGGCCACCTGGATGTGACAGAAAGAGTCAAGCCTAAACTGAATTAAAAGTTATCCGTCATCTTAATTTGTTTCCAGGAAGTTGAAAATTATACACAGTATATTTCCTGATAATTTGAAAAACCAAGGATTTTTTTTCACGCTCTTTTGAATATTTCTGTTTAGAACATAAATAAATACATGAGCAGTGCTGATAATGTTCCCTTACAGTGCTCTGCACGCAGCTGCCTATTTTGGCCTATTTATGTTAACAATGAACTTGAGTGAAGCTAATGAGAAGGTTATTTTAGGGCCTTGGAAACCGCAGTAAAGGAAAATGACAGTTCCCACAGAACCGTAGTGTGACCGAAATAGAAAGGTGGTGACTGGGCGCTCTGTAGAAGCAGGAAAAGCAGGCTGGAGGGGCCGGTGATACTGCTTTGAAGCATTTGGTGTGCTTATTAGCATGTCCAGTCTCTCTGAGCACGGTTTCTGGATGCTGTGGAGACACAGAATGAAAGATTCCATTTTAAAATGACTCAGAGTGATCGAGGTTTCTGCTGGATCCTGTGTGCGCCTCCTCCCCCGGCCCCCACTGCCCTCCCCCACCTTGTAACACTACTCAGTGTGGTGGACTTCCTACATGGCAGGGGACAAGGAGAAGGACACACAGTGAGGGCATCTGGTTCATGACACGTAAGCTGGGTTGCACGGAGCAGCACCTGAGGCTGCTGCGAGGATGGCAAAGAAAGAACATTTCTGTTTTCGAGAAGCTGTTCTGTGACAGGACATTACAGTGACAGTAAATGCCTATCCAGCCACCCAGTCCAGTCTCTGTCAGGGATCACAGAGCTGCTGGTCTGCAGAAGCCCTAGGTGAGGCTTCTAATTTGATATTTAATGTCTCTGATGAATATGGGTCAAGGTGAACAGATCTGTTTAAAAGCTCTACTCCCAACCTTTGTGAAAACCCAAAGGAAGCTTTGACCCAGTTTTCCCAGTGCCTCTGTTACCTGCCAACTCTCCTTACCTAAGAGAGACTTAAGTCATTAAGAGAGGCAATTTTCTCCCATCACAGAGTATCCCATTTGCAGATTATTATACAGCACGAGCACTGTTTATTGATCTTCTCTCACTTACTTTAATGCCACTGGGAGGAAACACTGGTGGTTCTCCCACGCTGGCCAACTCTCCAGCACGTTTCTTTTGGCTTCTGTGTGTCGGTCAGTCTGTTCCTGTCATTCCCTTATCCCGTTTCTCACCTATTGTCTCAGTTGTTTGTGAGAACTGAAGTCAGGAAAACACCCTCACAATTCTGAAAACAAAAACTTACCCATCACAAATAATAATCTTTTTTTGCAGTGAGATGGTTGACATTTCATTTTTGTGATTACAATATATAGCATCCAGGCTTTCATTAGAAGCAATATTTCTTTCAATTAGGTGCCCAGATTAATGCTTTTTAATCCCACATATCCTTTGGTTAATTTCTTTTATGTTTTATTATAGCTCATATTTCTTTTAAAAACAGGTTAATTTGAGAAATGAGAAAGATTCATTTGGTAGTTTTTGAGTTAACATCATTATATTTTATAATTTTCTAAAAACATCCCCAGTGTGTTATATCTCAGCTGGTTATTTAGCAAATGTAATGGGTTTTTAAATCTTAATAACAATAGCAGCTGTGATTTTTACTCTAAAATATCCTTATAAATAGCTACCTAGCTAGGATTTCCTTCACTATACCTTATAAAGGAATCCCACTATACCTTACCTTGTGAACACCTTACCACTTGAGAGTACCCTGTGTGTAAAAAAAGTAACTAAAACCTTTGTGTACTCATAAATGTAGAGTATTGTTTATAAGTCAGCTTTGGTTGTTTAAAATTTCATGCAGTGCTCTTAGAAACGTACTTTTCATAACTTTAAGAGTTTTCTTTTATTAGGCAGTGAACTTTATCAGTGACAAGTGGAAATTTCCAACTTTGAGAGCTCAGATATTTGCGTAATTGATGTGCAAAAATAACTTTAAATTGCTTTTTGTTTCACTGCAACTTAGAATAAATTTTCATAATTCATATTAATCATATCATGTATGTCAGATACATAAATGGTTTAATTCATTTTCTAAGTTGTGATATTCGGTGTGATTCAGAGTGAACTCTGAATATTTAAGTATGGTTACTGTGTCACATTCCTTCTTCCTGTCAGCAGTAATGAATTTAATAAGTGAATAATTGAGAAGTTGCTTCATCTGGCTGTGGTTAAACAGATCACTACCTCCCTTTTATTGCCACTGGCATAAAGCAATTAACGCTGAATTGGCAACCTAGGAATGTGAAAGGAAAAAAACGCTCCTCCAAGAAAAATTGATCATTAATAGACCTGATTAGGTCAGTTGGACAAGATGAAGACAGGGCAGATTTCTCCACACTATATTCTTTTTTCATTATTGGCCTGAACTTGAGATAATTTAACAGCAGGTTGAAACTAAATGTTTCCCTCGTGGTCAAGAAAGTAGCTCTTCAAAATCCCCTGTTATCACAGATACTCTTGCAACTCAGGAAATTAAATCATACGCTGAAGGTGTTTACATTGTCTCATAAACATAATTATGAGTTTGACTGAGCTCCCGTGAGGTCTCAGAAGCTGTCACACATGCTGGTAAGTATGGAATTGCCAGAATTGACTGGAGGTACTGCTGAAAAAACAACTTCAAAAAGCAAAAAAAAAAAAAAAATGTTCCAGCCTGTTAACCTTTCCCCAACCTATCCTGGGTGCTGTTTCTGTTTTGTTTTTATCCCACAAACCTATCGATTTTCATAGAGCATTTTATGTTGCCATTGCTCACCATACCTTCATCATATAACTTTGCATAATTTATATTTTATGTAATTCAAATGAGGTTTAATTAATTCTGTATTTCTGACCTGTTTTTATTAAGATTCCCTCCAGTCAACAACGTTTTAATCTTAGCTTGATGTTTCATAATGAGAGGAAAGTACAGAATCGGAAAAGCAGAGATTAATTTCCAACAGCATGGGTGGACCTAAAGGGTGTTATATTAAGTGAAATAAGCCAAAGAAAGACAAATACCATATAATGTCACTTATATGTATGTGGAATCTAAAGAACAAAGTAAACGAACATATAAAATTGAAACAGATTTCCAGATGCAGAAAACAAACTGATGGAGGCCAGAGGGGAAGGGGGTTGTGGGGTGAGGTGAAATGAAGCGATGGGATTAAAAATACAAATATGTAGTTACAGAATAGTCATGGGGATGGAGGAGAAAGCATAGGGAATTTGGTTAACAATATTGTAATAACTGTGTATGGTGCAGGGCTGGCACTTGAACTATCAGGGGCAACCTTTTATAACCTATATGAATGTCTGTCCACTGTGCTGTACACCTGCAACTAACGCAAAATAGTGTTGAATGCAAAAATAAAATTAAAAATAAATTATCAGCAGAAACCTGAAAAAAAGCTCCATATTTCAGAGGTATTTTAGAGAGGCTTACTATTTTGTGTTTGGAAAGCAATATAGTGTAATGATGTTAAGAGCATGAATTTTGCAGTTTAACAGACTTGGTCCAGATCCCTGCTCTGCTTGCTGGACCGTGGGACAGTTTTTTTTATCCCCTCTGACCTTGAATTTGTTTGTAAATTGGAATAATAATGAGTCTATTTGAGAGGTATTATTAGGGTTAAATAAGAAGGAAAATCCAAGGAAAGCATTGGACATAGTGCCTGGCACATAAGGAACATTTAGTATGTGTTAATATTAGTTGTATTTTTAATGATGTTATTGGTATAATGATTTATGTAATTGTTTGGGTTTTTTTTTCCTCATAATTCATGTATAGGAAATACTTGAAAAAGACTTGAAAGTGTCTACGTTCCCAGACATTTACCATCGTCTTCTAATAGTAATCAGATCCTGTTTAAAGATTTCATAGGCCAGGGCTGAATTTAGATACTTGATATTTTTGGTATCTGAAACAGATTCCAGTCACCTACTGCAGATTCATTTTCTCTTTAAATTGTAGAAATCAAAACAGTAATATAGTCTCATATTTGTAACGGCAGTCCTATCCAAGATTTTGTAGTTTGTAGAACTGGTAATGTTTAATGTTCTTCATAAGTTCATGGGTTTAATAGGAAAGTGCACATTTTTTTTAGAGCTTGAGTATAGAGGTACTTTCAACTGCTCATCAAATGAGGAAACTGTGTAGGCAGGTTGAATGAAGAATCAACTAAGATTCTTTCCCTTTGTGTAAGATGTAGATAAAACTTTGCAAAAGGAAGAACTGCATAACAACTATTAAATTGCTGTTATCACTCCAAATTTTCATCTGATTGTTATAGATGAATGTAAAATAAATTTTTGAGTTATAGTCAGTGTATAGACCATTCTGTGTGAATGCTGTCTCATTATTCTTCTTTAAATTTTAATTGCTATATAAGGTTACTCTGTTTTGACCTGCATAGTTTGCTTGGTCATGGTTTGTTGGGTATTTGAGATATTTCGCACTTTTTCCTCTTATAAATAGCACTGCTATGAATATCTTTCCTTTCAAGTTACTCCTCTGCTATCTACCTCCCTACCCCCAATTAATTTCTAGGGGAATATTCTGCATATTAATCAAGGTATGTTTTACATTCTTTTTTAATGATAGTTAGGTTCAAACTCACTTCCCAAGTAGTTTGGTATTGGAAACGCAAGCACTATAGATTTGAATAAATGTAGGTCTTGTTAGGTGGTTGCCTTTTATTAAGCAGGAAAACCTTCTACCAGCATGGAATGAGTTACAAAGAGAGTTTTTAAGGTAAAAGGAAGAATACAAGGTACAAGAAGACCCTGTGAAAATTAGGCAGTTCCTAATTCCTTCTGAGTTTGATTTTCAGAATACTGCTTTGTTTTTTTTTATATATCAGGTACACTCCAAATTTTAAAAGTAGAGACAGGACTATTGCAAAGATAAATATGTTACAGATTTAGATTAATCATAAATAGGCTTCCTTCCGTTAGTGCGGATGTGAGTATGTCTTGGACTTCAACATCACATAGTTCTTTTGTGTACAGAGATCTACTTTCATTTTTCAGACCTTAAATACAGATGGGAGTTTACATCTTTATAGCAGTCCTGCTGCCAGATACAGTTCAGCCTTGATGGGAAGGAAGTCTTGTGGCCAGATGGGTGGAGATCCATGGTGCAAGGCCATAAAGATAAAAATGGAAAGAAAAGGAAAAACACTAGGGCACTGGGACACGACTCCGTAACAAAGATAAACCCACCTATAGGCATTGCTTGTTCTGAGGGTAGGGACTTCTTTATACTTGTGAAAAAAAAATGAGCTTGTTATTTTTACTTTTAGTTCAGTGTAATTTATTTTTGGTATATAGTAATTCAAAAATTCTATATACCAAATTCAAATGATTAAAATTCAAATGAAAATTCTCAAACCACTAAGTTTCCCTCTTTTGAGGCAACCAGTATTACTACTTATGCAATTATCCTTCCAGAACTATACTACACATATACAAGTAAATATGTATATGAACATGCATGTGTGTTTCTGTTTATGCACACACATATATTCTTTTTCTTTTTCCTTTTCTTTTTTCTATAACCAGTGGTGCATCATGACATACTGTTCTATACTTTGCTTTTTGACCTCACATTGAACCTTGGACATTATTCTATATCAATAGGTTTTTTATTCTTTCAAAGCACTTTAAAAATATCACATGCCTACACTGGGTGAAAGTAATTCTTAACCTATGGAGTAGGCCTAGGAAGTAGGGCTGATATATAAGAGTTTCCAAGAAATATTTGTTGAATGAATGAGTGAGGGAATGAATGAATTATTTTATTAATTTAAGGTACAGATAGAAAGAGGCAGAAAGCTAAGAATTCCCTAAAGTTTTGAGATTCTTGGCCTAACCCTGACCCTGGGGTCCAGTGAAATCTAAGGGATAACATCACAAAATGCCTATCTCTTTTAAAAAGGCATCAGAAATTCTCATTAAGGCTTCATATGGGGAGATGTCCATAGGAAGAGATGCTTCCAGAGGTGGGGGAAGAATGGAGATATGGGATGGCCCCTAGATTTGAGGAGTCAGGATGCATATAATACATGTCCTGGTTCTGCTGTGATGGGACTCCAGGCCCTGGGAAAATTGGGTTCACCTATTCTGTGCTGGTAAGTATGGAATTGCCAGAATTGACTGGAGGTACTGCTGAAAAAACAACTTCTGTGCTGTTTTTCTTCCAATGCAAAACAAGGGTGTTGGCGTAGATTATTTCTATGGACCACTCTAGCTCTAACATTATGTAATTTATAATACCACAATTTCCTGTCTCATTACCAATTTGCATAGACATTGTGTTGAAACTGCATTTACACAGACAAAAAATAAGGTGTCCTTTCTCTAATATAATAAAGAGACTTATAGCTTATTGGTAAAAATGTGATTATGAAGATTCCAGAATTAGACTGTTGAAAGTTGTTTGCAATAATTATATTCCTCACAAAAACTTACTGGTAAACTATTGAGACAGAAACAGATGAACCAAATATGCCACACATTGACACATCTTTGAGAGAATTAATACTCTGTAGTTTTAACCTTTAAGAGTTTAAAAAAATCAGGTAATTGTAATATTCAAGTTATTCTATAGTATATATAGTCATTATAAATGATAAATAATATATATTTAACAGCTTTAACTATTAAATATATTACTAAAATAACTAATAGTAAACGTAATTCATAGTAAAATAAATTTTTTTCTCTTTATTTTAGTTAAGTATGAGAGTGAAGCTAATAAATATTGGGACACATTTTACAAGATTCATAAGAATAAGTTTTTCAAGGATCGAAATTGGCTATTGAGGGAATTTCCTGAAATTCTTCCAGTTAATCAAAAAACTGAAGAGAAAGCAAAAGAACTATCATGGGATCATGTAAAAACTAATGCTGCAAATTGTTTCTCAAGAAAGCACTGTCCTACTCTGCCTGAAGAAAAAAATTCTAAGAAAAGTTCTGGCTTGTCACATGGTCAAAACAAGGCCGAATCTGATTTTTCCCACCTAGACTCTGAAGAACACAGAAAAGGACCCCTGGAGACTGAGCTCTTTCCTGGTAGCAAAGCCTCATTCAGAATCCTAGAGGTACTGTACTGCAGGGACAAAGATGGGAGGTGGCAAATAACTTTTAAATGTAACTTTAAAATGTAAAATGTAAAAATAATATTACTTTATTAATGATCCAGACTTTTTTAGGGGGAAAATGGTCAGATTTAACTGAATAAGTTTTCAGGAAACTTTTGTATATAAAGAAATGTAGGGGACTCATCTTTAATCAGTTTTAAGTATGTGATTTTAATTTTTTTAAATTTTAATATCTAACTTGAAGGCAGTTTTTATTTTATTTATTTTTATAAAGATTTTATTTATTTATTTTTTTCTTTTAGAGAGTGGGAAGTGAGGGAGAAAGAGAGGGAAAGAAAAATCAATGTGCTAGAGAAATTGGTTGCCTTTCGCAAAGGGCCTGGCCCACAACCCAGGCATGTGCCCTGGCAGGGAATCGAACCAGTAACCTTTTGGTTTGTAGGCAGGCGTTCAGTCCACTGAGTCACACCAGCCAGGGCTGAAGGCAGTTTTAAATACCAATAAACTTTTGGCCTCAATTTCCATTGCTTTGTTATCACTCCTTTTTAGGTGAAATAGAAATGTGAGATACATAATTTGCTATAATTTGGTATAGACTGATTTTCTATTTTTAAAAATACACTTCTTCCTTCTGATTATAAAGATAGAATATATAAATTACGGAGAATTTACTAAAGAGTGGATAAGAGATATAAAATTATGATCTGACTGTTAACATTTTACTGACATTTTCTCCTTTTGTTTATACTATTTTATATAGTTGAGCTACTCAATACCCATATTTGGGGGTCTTGCTTTGTTTCTATTTAGCATTATATTATAAGCTGTTTTCCCTACCTATAAAATTTTTCTATAAACATTTTCATGCCGGCAAAATACCTCAGTATGTGGCGTACTATAATTCTATTTTTTTTTTTTTTTTTTTACACTTCTGGGCATTTAAATTGTTTTCCGGTTTCTTCAGCAAACATCTTTGGGTATAGACTTTTCCACATTATCTTTTATTATCTTGGGTTAGGTTTACTAGCTTATAATTTATAAAAATATGTAATACTTTTAAGATATTTTGCCAAATTGCTTTCTAAGAAGTTGTACTAACACAGTTCACAGTTCATGGCAATGTGTATGTGTTTCATCACATACTCATTGATTGGAATTTCTTCTTTTAGTGCTTTCTGCTTTATAAGACAAAAAAATTACATCTTGTTTTAATTTGCATTGTTTTATTATTGAATAGATCATTTAGTTCTTCAAATGTTTAGAAGCCATTCATACTTTTTTAAAACAGATTTTATTTATTTACTTTTAGACCAAGGGGAAGGAAGGGAGAAAGAGAGGGAGAGAAACATCAATGTGTGAGAGATACGATTGCCTCTCACACACTCCCCAACTGGGGACCTGGACCACAACCCAGGCATGTGCCCTGACTGGGAGTTGAACCAGCAACCAGTCCACTGAACCACAGCAGCCAGGGCACCATTTGTACTTCTTTTGTGTTATCTTTATTTTCTTTGCTTATTTACCAGTAGTTTGTTTTGTGTTTTTTTAATTCTGCCCTTTATCATATTTCTTGCAAATGTTTTTTTCACAATGTGTTGGTCATCTTTTAATTCAGTTTATTTTGGTTTTTTGTGTGTAAAAATTTTAAATGTTCCCATAGTCAAATTTTTCCCTATTAGTCTTGTGATTAATTCCATTGCTTTTGAATTCAGAAAACTCTCCTATATCCAGAGGTCCAGTAAATTTCTTCTAGTTTTTTTTAAATTAAAAATCTGACATTAGTCAGGAAAATTTAAACTGGTTTCATGCCATTTATTTGTTCTTTTGATTTTAGGTTGGCTGTGGTGCTGGAAATAGCGTTTTTCCAATTCTGAACATTTTGCAGTAAGTTTTATATATCTATGGGATGTTGAGAAATTCTGGAAGAATGTTGTCATGTATATATTGATAGTGTTCTTGTTTGCATATAAATAATGACTAAGGCAAATTTCAAAAGCAATGTTTTAGTCTTATAGCCCAATTTCAAGTGAACTGGAAACTGCTCTGAAAATAGTATCTCAGAGCCATGGATTGTCCACCTTGGGCTGAAGTATTTTTTTAAGCTTTTGTTTTTGTAGAAGAGTGAATAAGAAAAGAACAAGACCAAGAGATTTAATCCTTCCACTAAGCTGTAAATTGCTAAACTTTAAAGATTTGCTCCTCAAGGATACAGAGGTGTCGTTTAACACTTATAGAATTGAGTTTAAAGCTTATATTTTAATCTTCATTTTATTTTTGTCATTACTTTGGGCGCCAACACCCAGGATTAAACCTTAGGATATCGCATGATTGTCTGTAATCTTGAATTGTTTGGGGGTAACAGCAACTAACCCTAAGACTCAAAAAAGAAGTCGATGGTAAGGACAGAGATGTTTACCTGACCTGCCCTTCCTCTTCAACACCTCACCTGTGTGTTTTAGTATCCCATGACAAAACAGAGCTTTTCTAACATGTTACATAGGCTGGAAGTTTACACAATAGCTTTTACATTATTTTCGATTATCAAACCAACATAAGCACATTCCAGAACATTTCCATTAGAGGAAATGGGGGGGTGGGGGGGTGGAGGAGGGGGGGATTACCCCTTATCCTAACATAGCTGCTGACAGAATTTTTGTTGTAATTCTTTTCAGTCTTTTCCTTATACATATTTTCTAATTTAAAGATGCTATTTTAACTCTAATTATGAAAATGTAAATGCATTCAGAAAAGTAGAGTATTACACAATGAATCTCCATGTACCCACCACCTTGACTTAACAATTATTAATGTGAGGGCAACATTATGACACGTTATTTTTAAATATGACAGATCTTAGGATGTATCTCCAAAAAATCAGGACATTCTCCAATACTATTATAAACCTAACATAATGAATAGTAAGCATTCCATAATAGCATCAAATAACCAGTTAAAGTGGCCAGGCAGAAGTGATGCTGGCAAATTTTCAGTTCTGAATGGCCTTTCTCTTTCTGTACTTATTTCCTCTGTTATCTCTTTTCCAATTTCTGGACTGAAATTTCCCATTCTTTTAGCATATAACCAGTGCTCTCCAAGCTTATAATACACATAAATCTATTACATTGGCAGTCGATTATGTGTTACTTTATGACTCATCTCAAGGTATTATTTAGCATGTCATTCCTTTATGTCTTATCTCTCCAACCACTGTTTATATTCCTTTTGGGAGAGAGCATATTTTACCCTAATCTGTTTTTCCAGGTAGCCTAGCAGTACAATATATATAGTTTGAGCTCAGTACATACTGACTCATTAATATCCCTGATTCTCCACTTGTTAGTTGTATTTTTCCCTCTGTACTTCTCCCTTCAACTAATAATTGCAAGCTCTGGCCTCCTGCACTCCCTGGCTTTTCTTGTCTGTGTCTTTATTTTGCCTCATATCCACATTTTTAGAAATCACTGTACCTCAGTAATCTGAGCTCATTAATTCATCCTTTAAAAGGCAACCAGTGCACTGGCCAGTGTGGGTCAGTTGGTTGGATCATCGTCCCATGTACCAAGAGATTACAGATTCGATTCCCAGTCGGGGCACATGCCTCGGTTGAGGGTTTGGTCCCCAGTCGAGGCATGTATGTGAGACAACCAATCAATGTTTCTCTCTCTCTCTCTCTCAATTCAATAAACATATTTTTAAATAATTTTTTTAAAAAGGCAACCAGTGATTATCCTTCCCAAGGGAAGATTAGAGCCCCCCCCCCAAGAAACTATGTTTTATCATACTTTTGGAGAGTATAGGATTAATGTTTTACATTTTCAGAATATTTTACCATAATTACACCTTCAGAATTGAGAAGTCATATTGTTCTCCAAGGATCATTTAATTCTTAAACCCCCTGCCAAGAGAGTGCTTGGTGGTATAATAGTAGTAGTGATATTTACACCCGCTTGCTGGGAGAAAGGCCAAGACTGTCAGCTGATTTTACAGAAAAGCTCGGAAACGTCATTGAGTGGTCACAAGGCTTCATCTTGGGCTGCTGATGCAGTGGGAATTCAGTCCCAGAGGTCATGCCGTCACCAGGACACATGGCAAATGGCCCATGCTTTCCTTTAGCAACTAGACTGTACTGTTTCCTGTGGGCATTTAGTAACCACTGCCAAAGGTACATTGCATACATTTCATAATGATCTAGATGTGGCAGTGTCCAGAGCAGCATTTCAAATTAAGTGCAAGTTTTTATAGAACTCTGTTAAATTCTTAAGTTCCTAAGTTCCTGGAAGGCAGAGGGAGATCTTCCTTTAATATTATGACAATGATAATAATAATAGTAACAGTTAAAACACAATAATGACACACGTTTACTAGGTGCTTACTCTATATTAGGCAGCTTTCTAGAAACTTACATGAATTCATCAATCTTCACAACCACCTTACAGGCCGTATTTATCTGTTTGAAAGATGAGGACACAAGAGTTACGGGGAGATTATTCTAAGGTTGCACAACTCAGTAGTAAGGCCTGGATTCCAAATTTAGGCAGCCTGGCTCCGGAGCCCTCGCCCTTAGCCATCGTGCCACACAGCGCCGTGTGCCTCGAGGGCGTACTGAGAACATTGCAAACACTCGTGACTGCCGGCGATTACCAGTCACAACTATATGGATTTCATAGAAAACAACAGAAGTATATGCTGCAATAAGGCGCTGTGTGCATAAGGACCAGATGAGAAAAGACACAGTGCAAATTTTAACTTTGATTCAGTACTGGTTAACTTTTCATAACAAATTCAGTTCCTCGCACTTGAATTTATTTGGACAAATCTTAAATCTAATGTCAATCCCTAGTGCCACAGAATGAGTAAGTTATATGTGAACATAGTATTCATCAATGGGCAGCATTTCAGAGTATAATCTGAGCCTGGGTGAGATTTTGCTAAATGCATATTTGTGCTTATAGTCCATATTTATTCAAAAGTCCTCCCTGCTTGAAATGCCTCCTGAAATCAAATTAGAAGTTCTAATTGTGTGCCTCAAACCCTCCTGCATACCCTGTCTCATGCTAATTTGAGCCCTTCAGATCAACTCTGCTTCTCATCCCTGGAGTGTGACTCCCACCTCTAAACCCTTATTCCTTTTCCCCTTCTTCCCATTTAGCAATGCCATCCCCCCCACCCCCTGCTTCAAAATTCTTAAGACTTACACCTCTAGGAGCCTGTCCTATCCACACCCCTATAGTAGTTATATAAAACCAATTATGTCCCCAAGTAGGCTATAAAACCCACAAAAGCCAAAAGCAACATGAGGGCCACCCATAAACCACTATAGAAAACAATATTTACAAAGAAAAAATGACAAGCCAAGTGTTGTCCAAAACTCTATTAAGGAAATACTTATTAACTAGTTCAAAGCTAGTTTTCTTTCTTTTGCAGTCTGAGCATATATGGATTCTAGATTTAAGTGTTTCTCTTGTTTTTATAGGAATACTCCAGAGTCATTTCTTTATTGTTGTGATTTTGCTTCTGGAGCTGTGGAGCTAGTAAAGGTATGCCTTATATTTTCTTTAATGAGAGCCATGTAAGAATCTGATTTATTTGCTGTTGAAGTGATTGGCGGGGGTGGGGAGGATATTTCTGCATCAGATGTTATCTGCGACCATTTTTAACTGAACTTCTACTATTTCTGGAAATCATACCATCAACTGATGCCTAAGATATAGCCCTAAAACCATAAAAGTTGTTTTGAATTTAACATAGAGTTGAAGGGACTAGCATAGCTGCAAAGGCCAACAGCTCCTGCAAGGTGATCTTGTTCATATTTATGTCTGTAAAGCCTTACACAGAGTCTGGCACAGAGTAGGCACCCATTAAATTAAAATTTTTGAAAAAAACCCCCTGAAACGGCATATATTGCAAATCTAAAATGTCCTAGAAGATAAGGAAAACAGTGGGGAGCCTGGACTTATTTGACTATTCCCCAAATTCTAGTGAGCATGACCTTAGCAAGAAGGGGAATGACCTTAGCTAATGTTAGGAAATGGAAAAGGAAAGGAAATTCTATAAACAAAAATGTATAGTAATCACATGGAACACAATTTCTGATAATATAATAGTTATTCATTATAGATTATTTTTTAAAATACTGAAAAGCCTAATGGGGAAGATAAAATTTACTTATAATTACACTTCCTAGAGTCCTAGGGTGAATCAATGTTAATATTTTGGTATATATCCTGGTAGTGTTGTTTCTATAGGTGAAGTAAGAGTGTGTGTGTGTGTGTGTGTGTGTGTGTGGACTCTAAGGCAATCTTTTAAAATATAGTTTACATACCCTACTACTTGCCATTTTAAGTATATAATTCAGTGTTTTTTTAATGTTTACAAGTTGTGCAAACATCACCATTATCTAATCTTCATCATGTCATATATTAAAAGCCAAATGAGGCATGGAGCAAGCAGTGTGAGAGAGAGCCAGGAGCCTCTGAAATCACATGGGGTAGTCTCCCAACAATGCTGCCAATCGAGTCAGAAAAACTGCCCTACTCCACTTGGAAAATGAAAGAGGGATTGCAATCAAGTCTGAGTATTAAACTTAATTTTTGATGGCAGCTTTTGAAATAAGCTAACAATACTGAATTGGAAATAAAGTGCATTCAGATTTGTAGATGAAAAACACTTGGGAGAAGTAAAAATACTGACCTTTTTATTTTAAAAAAACTACCGTAAGTCTAACTACTCTTTTTTCTTCTTCCTATTCCTTTATCACGACAGTCGCACCCATCCTACAGAGCAGCCCAGTGCTGTGCCTTCGTGCACGATGTTTGTGATGAAGGCGGACCCTACCCTTTCCCCGATGGGGTCCTGGATGTCGTCCTCCTGGTCTTTGTGCTCTCTTCCATTCATCCTGACAGGTGAATGAGGATGAAAAGGGCCAAGCAAATGTGTAAAGCGCCTTTATCAGTCGTAGTTTTTAGAACTATCAAGGCAAAAATGACAATTCTTGTATTTAGTATTTAGTAAACTACATTATGTGTAATATGCAGCCTTTTAGATGCAGCTTTTTCTTTCTTCAGACTTTTAGAAAGAAACTGGTCGAACGGCTTCATTAGCGAGCTCTCTGTCACTGTCAGAATGAAGTGAGCACATGCTGGCAAGACACATACCTATTAAAAGTGACAGTGCTTCAAGGAAATTACAAATTCAGAACAGCCTAATAGACTCCCAAGAGGGAAATTGTACTTGGTGATCAGAAACAAACATCTCTGATTTAGCATCTTACTGAATGTTCGTGAAGATGTGGGCTGTGAATCTTTTGGCTTCACACAGGTCTGTCAAGGGGCTTTTAAAAAGTTGTTTTAAAGAAGCCAACTAGGGAATTACGGATTATCAGGATTTGCCAGATTAACCTTGGACCTTTGTAATCTAAGATTAACCTAGTGGCATTATTTAAATATTTATGACTTAAATATTTTGGTTCACATGCAATGTTTTGAAACAATAAACATAGCTTTTCTCCATAGAGGAAGCATAAATGATCACTTAAAATTCTGCCACCTCATGTGTATTAAGGCCAATGCGTGGTGTCAGGGGTTCCTGTGCCTTCATGAGGTTTCTTAAAATTTGGGTTTTGTACTTTGGTAGTAGATTCAGCTCCAAGAAAGAGCCTCTGGTCGTAGATACAGACTTGACATCAACCGCTTTTTGTCTGATGAGTGTGATCCTTTCCCAAAGACGTGGATTTACCGTGTGTTTCTTTCTTTGCAATTACGAGGTCCCTAAGACCCTTCACAGTCCTTTTACTTCTCATTCAGAGATGAGCGCTTTGATTACATGTGGAAAAACAAATTAGATTTCTAAATAAATCTGAACGAAAGATATTATTTGTACTTAGATGTATCAGGTTCCATGAAGCTACTTTTTCCTCCCAGTTTCTATGACCCATTTTTTTCTGCTAGCCTGTTTAGACTGTTGGCTTTATTCAGGTGCTGGTAGAAAGATGTCATCTATATGTTTTGCTTCATAGTTAAAAGGATGAATAATTAAAAGGATGGAGTAGGTGGGTAGAGAACAAGATTTTCTATTTGATACCCATAACAGGAAATGTTTAAATTCCCAATAAGACCACAAAAGGACTATTTGAAATCAGTTTAGATAAAATTTTTTTCTCATGATTTGAATTGAATGTTAAAGACAAGGGAAAGCAGATGTCTTAGATAGATTGCTTGTGTATTACAGTATGTTTATTCTCTTTATTTATTATAGAATAAGTTCAGATGTATCATGTCAGTAGCCACTTTCTTATCTGCATGGGAATGATCTAAAAATAAGGTGAATGAGTAGAAAGAGGGTAATAGTAAGTGAAAAGTCAAGGCAGTATTGTTAGGGTCGTTTAGGACTGTGGTAGTAGGGTCAGCCTCAGAAAATTTCTAGAAATGTAGCTTCTGGCCGGCTTGTAAAATCATGCACAAATGAACTGCAAGCAATTGAGCTACACCTCGAATCTAGGGATCTCACCTTTAATGGCAATAAACCATAGGAAGCAACAAAAGAAGAGCTTACTGTCCTTCTTATCACTAAAATAAAAGAAAGTATATTTACCACAGACCCAAGCATCGAGTAGGCCGTCCATGCTCAATTTTAAAAATCCCTTCTTTTCCTTCTTTTCTTTTACCCAGGGACAGGTGAGGATAGCAGAATTGGCCCACGTTGGGTAACGAAAGGAATGGGGTTTCTCCCATTCCTGTCCGGCCCGCCTCACTGCAGCCCGCTTGCACCCACAGTTCTCGGGGCCTGGCCGTGGCACTGCATCATGAGCCAAGGCAGGATGATCAGGAAGAGCAGCTCCCACCCCTTGCCTTTTAGCCACAACAGCAGACAGTAAAGGATAGTTGGGAAGAAAGGATTTACAGAAGGAGGTGGCTACATTTTAAAGTACAATTGACGCTTGGACAAAGCAGGGTGAGAGGTGCTGACCCCCACGCAATTGAAAATCCGCATATAACTTTTAACTTTCCCAAAAGTTAACTATTACTAATAGCCTACTGGTGACTAGAAACCTTACCAATAACATAAACAGTCACGTAACATATATTTTGGATGTTATTGTATTGTTACAGTAAAGTAAATTATTGAAAAGAAAATGTTGTTAAGGAAATCATAAGGAAGAGAGGATACATTTACAGTACTGTACTGTATTTATTGATACCATAAGTTTACCTCATCTGTTTACAAGCTGGGTTGTCAGTACCTACATCAGTATATCTTACATGATACAAAACACTGTAGGTGTTATAAATATTACTAACACTAGACATAAAAAATGAAAAGATACTGAGAAAAAGAAATTCATATTTATTTAGAGGTATAACAGTTCATCAGCAATATGATTGCTCTATGGTAACCTAGTGTAATCAATACAATTACTCCATGGTGGTAAGGAAATCTCCAAAAAAGCTTCCAATATATTTACTGAAAAAAGTCCATGTGTAAGTGGACATGTGTGGTTCCAGGGTCAGCTGTATTTGGCTGTTTGTTTTATTTTCCACTTTTGTTTCATGCTTGTTTTAGTAATAATTGCAGAAAGAGACTTTTATCTATAAATAAAACATTTATCCTGGAAGTGAGTTATTTTAAGGTTTAGATGTAGTTTTATTTAATTGCCAAAGCCTAAGGATATAAGCACAGTGTAAAAAAAGACTAATAAAATAAACAAGGAAAAATACTTTTTTTCCCCTTCCATGTACTTACATTCCAGTTTTTTTAAAGAGCTTTTCATCTAATCATGCCACCTCTTTCTGTTATACTTGTCTCTTGTTTTCATAGTTATTTTCATTTTCTCACTGTCTATTTCCTTTATAACCTGCCATAGTCTGGTGGCTTTTCACCCCATTATTCCACTGAACAGTATTTTAATTGGAAGGAATGTGTAGATTATCTGACCCCAAACCCTCATTTTTAAAATAAGAAAATCCAGAAGCTCTGGCTAGCATGGATAAAGCAGAGATGGCAAGGACTTAGTACACCGGCTACCATTGACCACTCTCTGCCCAGGGCAGACATTGGTAACTGATTTCGTACTCTGATCATCATTCCCAATGAGCCCTAGAATTCTTCTCAATAGAGCTCTGTAGGCAGCCCATGTCAAACACTGGGCATTGATCTAAGATCTGATATCTTTGCCACCTCTTGCCCATTATCACACATAAGTCCATGAACACTTAACCAAAAACATTAAGTCAAGAGCAGTCACAAGGGGTTGTATTTGGTGGGGAACCAGGTGAGTGGAATAAATAATAAAAGAAAGAAAGTAAAGGCTTCCCACTATTGAGCTGGGGTTTGCAGAGTGAATAGAATTTAAATAGAGAGTAAGAAGAGAGTTCTTCTAGGAAAAACCACATGAACGAAGACAGGCACTGCTCGGAGCCAAGCATGTAATAGTTGGGCTAGAGTTGAAGCTTTAGGTTAGGAAGTGGTGGGAAAGAGGTTGTAAAAAGTAATTGAGCAACATAATGATTTGACCAAACCATCATTTTAAGCAGAACAATTCATCAATAATCTGCAGGAAGAATTGACAGGGAGAGCAATGAAGAATGTTAGGAAGCTATTATGTTTTCAGGCCTAAGGAGGTAGCAGTTTGTACTAAGGGAGTACTACTGAGAAACAAAAGAGAGAAAAAAAATATCAAAGATGTTATTTAAAGAATAGAATTTGATGACCAAATGGTTGGAGAGGCTAGCGGAAGAAGACAAAAATAAAAGAGGTTAAGGATATGTCTGAGGTGTTACACTTTGGTGAATGACAGTACCTTTGAACTAAATGAAGAAGTGAGAATAAAAGGAGCTAGTTGTGGAAGAAAAGTGACCTCTGTTCAGAGGTGCACAATTTGGAACAACTCCGGCATACTTGTTTATCTTGCAAGGAAAAAGGAGTGACACCCATTGTTGTCTGCCTTGGAACTACCTTAATTTGCTATAAATATCAGAAAATGTCTAATTAGGCTTTTTTTAAAAATTGACTTTTAGAGAGAGGAAGGGGTGGAGAGAGATTTTTTTATTCCTCTTATTCACTTATTGGTTGATTCTTTTATGTGCCCTGACTGGAGATCGAACCCTCAACCTGGTATATTGGGACGATGCTCTCAACAACTGAGCTACCTGACCAGGTCCAATGTCCATATGGTTTTGTAGTTGAGCTGTGACCTCATACATCAAGCCCTATAAAGGTCCCCACTCTGGTCATTTGGGTGATTTCTTGATACTCTGTGCCTTTGGAATCTGATAATTCAGCAAGTTGGTGTCCTTTTTTCCTTTCTATGCAAAATATTTTTTTTCTTGCCCTTATTTTTGTGGTTTAAATTTCTTTAGCCTCATTGAGCTTTTCTTATTTTATCTTTAAGATAAAGTTAAATGTGGCATATAAAACAAGATTGCTGAAAACAGGGTAACTTGCTTTGTTTTCAAAGGATGCAAGGTGTTGTAAACCGATTGTCCAAGTTACTAAAACCTGGTGGAATGCTGTTATTTCGGGACTATGGAAGATATGATAAGACTCAGCTTCGTTTTAAAAAGGGTAATAGTATATTCAGTTTCAAATTATTTTCATGTATTTTAAAGAATGCCTCATTTATATTTCATGCCAAGATTTCGTTTTCATTTTTGTTTTTTAAGGAATACTAAGTTTTTCTTCTCACAGTTGGTTCTTTTTTCAGGGCATTGTTTATCTGAAAATTTTTATGTTCGAGGAGATGGTACCAGAGCCTATTTCTTTACAAAAGGTATGCTTATCTATTAGAGGAAATAATTACCTGTAAAAAATCTTTTTGGTTATTGTTTGCAGAGAAAAAATTCAAAAGCTCTAAAAATGAGACTTCAATAGTTGATTAAACATTGGATGTCTTCACACTTTGGTGACTACACATTCTACGTAAAAGCTTAAAAATGGCCTTTTTGCCTTCTAATCATTTTCCAGTCGAAACTGCTTTAAGTGATCACTTGTTCCATCCTATACCTAAATAAAGAGATAGTCTGTTGCACCTAGGAGGTAGTGTTAATTCAGATATAAAAAACATTGATGATGTGCCACAGCCAAAGGAAGAAGTATGATTTTCTAAGAGTTCTTAGAAAATTACTTAGCTCTTTCCAATTTCTCATTTTAAAGAAAGTATGTGAAATGAACCTTGCATTCAAAGATTTTCTCCAGACTTTTGTGAAAACTATTCTAATGTGTCATTTGTGCTCTCTGCAGACCAACAAAAACTCAAACGGGGACATGTTTAAAAATAATGAAAACTGTAGCCAATAGTGTTGTATATCTGTGTTAACCCATTTATACTTGGTGCATTTGTGTGAAGTAGAAGAAACCCTTCTTAGTTTCACATGTTTCCTTCACCAGTTCGTACTAGAGTATTTGTTAGTATAAATGAAATTTAGATGGTTAGTCATTCCATTTACTGTTCCATGTTCCTGACTGCTCCCCCCACCCCAGTCACATGTCATACATTTGATTGCAATTTTTGTCCCACAGGGGAAGTCCACAGTATGTTCTGCCAGGCTGGGCTAGATGAGAAGCAAAATCTGGTTGATCACCGCTTACAAGTAAATAGGAAAAAACAAGTGAAAATGCACCGAGTGTGGGTTCAAGGCAAATTCCAGAAACCGTCACACTTGACTCAAAAAAGCTCCAAATTGATATTTTCACTCCTTTCTCATAGCTGAACTATGTACCATGTTAAGGTACAAACCAGAGGACGACCCGATTCAAAGACTTCTGAAAAGTTTTCATTTTTGAAAAGACAATCAGAAGAAGAAAATTTATATATTCTCTGTTTATCATGGATGAACTCTTTTGTGTATTCCAAACACATGTAAGTGACTTGGAAGAGTACACCATACTCTGTGTTTTCAAAACTTAATACGATCGTGTTTGGTTGGGTTTATGGTGTCTAACCATTTTGTTTACTGATTGAATTTTGTAAGCATTCAATTAAATTAGTGTTGTAAGTCAAATGATTCTGAGAAACCATAACCTTTTACTTTTTAGGAGTGGAAAAAATCGCCTACTCTATATATTAGTCAAACAACACAATTTCACTCCCCTTCATTGTTACCTGGTAACAGAGAGACAGCTCACCTTGCTTCCAGGGAAAATCACAAACCCAAGACAAAGGTGTATTTTTTTTTTGTTTTATTGTGTTTTCCCCAAAACTTTTTTTTAAAATCAGGGACTAATGTCTGAAATAGAATTTTAGTTTCTCTTTCTTTCTCTAAAATTGGGGAAGTATGACCAAGGCTAACATTATTTTCAGATTATTAGGTGTACAAGTCTTTGTAAATTCACTTTAACACAACTGTTATACCCAAGAAAAATATTCAATTGTAGCAATTAATTTATTTACCACCTTGCCTCAGAAAGGATATAAATTGGATTGCATGTTGCACATCATTAGAATGGAGTTTCTAAAATTGGTCTTTCATTTGTTACTAAGTACTTACATTGTGCTGAGTCTTGTGGAATAATACAATGAGTACAGATCCAGCCCTATCTTCAGAGAGCATAATATAAAAAGAATCTAGTTGGCAAAGCAAGATGTACACATCCCAAGCCTCTAAATCAAGATTTAATATAATGTATGAACAAGTACTCAGATGGGGAGCTTAACAGCTAGTGGACATTGATTATGAGTGACAAAGATCTGGAATAAATGGACACTCTCTTAAATAATTCAGGTCCCACTGTTTTTCTTTTGAATTTACTTAAAATTCAACTTCCTGGAAGAATGTGATTGATCCAACTTAGGTCATGGATTCTCTCTTAATAGGCCCGGGCAGAGCAGCTAAATTGATGGTACCAACCACAATGTACAGAACGGAAGAAAGTTCCTCAAAGGAAAATTAGGACACTGTTATTAAAAAAGAGGGGAGGAATGCTGCCCAGCCACAAACAGCAGGCCACATGGGGGCGGTCCCAGTTGGAACAGTGGTTCTAAAAAGAGAAAGAGCACGGTGGGAAAGGAGGGGGAAGAGTCTGCGTTCTGGGAGGGGGTGGGTCTCAGGCTAGTCCTTGACCGTACACTCTCAGGTGGTGAGAAAATGCATGTGTCGGGTGTGGGACATTCATGATGGAGAAGAGTGGAGGAAAGAAGGGCCGGGGCTCAGCCTGTTATAGACAGACTAGAACAGAGGGCACATCGGATTCTAGTCTCTAGACTGGAGCCCTCTGAGGTTTGCTGATTTCTGTTTTATCCTAGCCGTAGCATGTTATAAATGTATTTAGAATGACTGAGTGAGGGTCATCCACAGAATGGAATGCAGTGAGGCAGGAGCAGGGAAGACCCCAGGAAGGTGTTCGTACACAGTCGCCTTGGCAGCAAGTCTTCAGAAGGGCAGTATCAAGGTTTGTTTAAACATGCATCAGTCGGTAACCGTAAAACTTAAAAATTTGCTGGAGACTCTTACTTTGGTTGTGTTTCATAATTAAAGTGTACATTTAAAAGCCAAACTAGTAATGAAAGGATTACATACCACAGGGGCAGCTAGATAAGTTAATGTTGCTATGGGAACCCCAGTAGATCTTCTTGTGTCTCAATTTAAAAATCATGGCCCAAGGTGGTTTTAAAAACAACAGAAGGTAAAATTATTCTCACATTCTCACACATGTAAATTGTACCATCTCTCTTAGTCCTAAATAGCAGATTCAAGCCAGCCTCTTGACTGGCACAGTAAAATTCATCTTTGTGTCTTTCTATAGTATATTACAGCATGTAGTTAACCTTTAGAAACTTCAAAAATACATCAACCAAATTTGGACTGTGAGACACAAACTGTCCTCTTTTGGGCTCTTGTCTAGTATAGACCTATTCCACGTGGCTGCTCAGTAGGGCCATTTCTACCCGTGTCTTAGGCTGGGTGGCCAGTCTTTCCCCCCCTGAGCCTACCTGAATCTACCACCGCCCTACCCCACCCCACCCCTGCCTCCTGCCCCAACTTTCAGTTGCTGCTAGACAAAATGTAGATTTTTGGCAGAGGAAAAAAAAAAAAAGAGAAAAGACCTGGTTTGCAATATTGTCTATAGGTATTAAGATAGCACGAAGTGTTACAAATATATCTGTTTGGGTATTAATTTTAAATATTTGATAATTGCATATAATTCTAATTTTCTCCTTATGTCCATAAGCTAGGACCAGTTAGTTAGGCAGTGTTTGATATTTAAAAATTCATCTTCTGAGGAAGCTAGATTTTAAAAGGACAATTTTCTTTCTAGCAGAAAAAGGAAGGTTCCTTCATCTTCTTAGAATACAGAAACAATGAAATATGCTATATTAAAAAATGTGCCTTCAATTTATTTCACTTCTAAAAATTCACTTTTGAGCATTTTCCAAATGTAAAATTCTCACACACAGGAAGAACTGTTTGAGAAGGTTGTGAGAAAAGCCAAGGTAACAGTTTCTATTTATAAAAGTTTTGCATGCAGTATGACACATTTGTCTTATTGAAACACCCTGTTAATGTTGACTTCTGAGAACTTATTTGTTGTTTGTTTCAGTTCCATATACTTTGGTCTCTAAATTGTGAATGCATTGAGGTTTCTACCATTATGCAGTCTTAAATCATTGCTATACTCTAGTTTATAAGTGAAAATTCACCCATATGCAAAGAGCTGCCCTCCTGGACCTCTGAACCATTTGGACTGTTATGCTTCCGATATTTTTAATTCTTGCCCCAAAATTCCTATGCTGTATTCCTATAGCCTTTGGACTCATCGAAGCCAAGTTTGGAAGTCTGAATGTGTATTGCATTGTTACTTTTAGTTGGTTATAATGTTTATTATGCTACTCACAAGTGCAAATTACTTCCATTTGCATCGCTAATAGGCCTTTCAGAACCTCTGCCCCTCCACTTCCTGCCTCGATTAGTCATCAGTAGACTTGGTGGCTCGGGTATTTTTCCTCCACTTGTGAAAGTGCGTTGTAAATTCTAAAGCACTGAATATACGTGAGGTGTTGTTATTAATAAAAACATTTACAATCTACAAGGCAGCATACTGAGTACTCCAGCAATAGGAACTTTTTCAATGGTTTTATGAGACCTTGTGAGAAAGCAAGACGCTGTAGAAAAGTGTGGCCTCAGCACCAGGCAGGAAGCGTAGGTCCTGGCTCCTAATGAACCGCGTGGCTGCCCTTAATGTAGCTCTGCGTGCTAAGGTTTTTATATACTGCACTTCTGTTTACTTCATTTAATCCTCAAATTCCTACAAATTATTTTTATTATAACTATTTAATATATGAGACAAAGCAGCTGAGATGTTGGCTAGTCAGTGACAGCCACAATTTGTCCCCAGAACTGTCTGATTCCAAAACCTCTACTCTCATCAGTACACTTTTATTTTTTATTTGTTTGGATATAATTTTTAATTTTCTCTTTCGATTACATTTTATTTATTTTTAAATGTATTTTACCCTATTTCTTCCATTACCACGTCTCCCCCGTACACCACCCCCTCCCCCGCTCCCTCCCGCCCCCTCCTCAGTGCACTCTAATGGAAAGGCTCGAGTGCTGCGCGGAAAGCTGCTGGAGAAGAAAGCGGGTTCCCGAATAAACTGGGCAACGATAACAAAGGATGGGAATTTGGATTAAATGACCTGCACAGCTACTACGGCTCATTCTAGATCCAGCGATCTATGAAATAAGTAGGTCGCAATTGTCAGGAGTAACAAACTGGGAAGGAAGAGAGGAGAGGGACCCGAGAGGAACGATGAAGCAAAAGCTTTCTCTCTGTCCTTTTCAGCATTCTGTCTGTTTAATTCTGCCCTTGCCCCACACACATCAGTCCTCAGCCTTCCACTTGGTTTCCCTCTGAGTAAGCAAAACACCCAATACTTGCATACCCCTCACATACAGAAAAAAATTAGTCTGTACAGCAAGAGGCGGGAAGCCTTCAAAGGAATTCAGCTGTGGCACAGTCTCATATATGTGAATTCAGGGAGTGTCAATCATAAAATACGAGTGAAAACATCTTTATTTAAAACACTGTATGTACATTAATGCCGATTCGAGCATGAAATATTGAGCATTTCTTGGAATATGGTTTGGGATTTGAGAGACGCAAAGGTACTAGCAGGATAGCTTTGGTGTAGTTATAAATATGAATAGAAGTAAAATAACAGTTGCATCTTCATTTATAATGAATCGATATTGTGGCCTCAAAGCTACACAGAAGAATGGATGCCAAAATCTGTCATGCCTTAAGTGACAGGGAAGAGTGTTGGAGACAAAATTTCTTTTCCCTCTGAGTATGAATCAGCAACATGCAGTAACAAGCAAGTAATAATAGCTCTGCTGTGAATGCCTATAGAGGGTAAGAAAAACAGCACTGAACTGAAAAAGCAAGTGCACCTGCAGGAGGAGCCCCGGAGGCTGCGAAGCGTGGCTCCCTTGAGCGCCATCCCGCATCGTCTCAGAGCACAGTGACCCCAACTCTGGCAAGCCAGGTTGGCATGAGATCGATGAAGCATATTAAAACCTCCAGATGGTCAAAGACAGCCCACCCTCAGCTGCCTCTGCAACGCGTCAGAGACAGCCGCCACTCCTTGTCCAAGAGTGTAAAACAGCTGCTTGGATTCTACAATCCATGTGGTCCCACAACCACTTAGCCTTTAGCAAGGCACGGCTAGAGGCAGGTGAATGAATAGATACATGTTAACACTTGAGGGGGAGGAAAAGTACTATTTTCCTCTACCTTTCTAAGTCCTTGGCTAAGACATGTCTGTATTAGAAGATAGGTTAACAGTAGACAAACAAAAGTTTAATGACATGTATACCTCCTGTATATGAGGGAGAGACCCAGGAAAACTGGGTAACCCCAAAATGGCCAAAGCCATCCCTTTACATGCCATCTTCAGCTAAGGACAAAAGATGTTTGGGGTGGGATGCCATTTAAGGTAGGTGACCAGGAAGAGCACAATTAAACAAGGGTAAGGTTGTTAGGCAGATTTAAAGTTCTTGCCTCCTCCATTGATAAGAGTTTCTGGAGATTTAGAGTCCTCCTCTTCCTGATACTGGGAGGGAGACACTCTTACAAATGGAGATTTGCCTCTAGTAAATGTCTCTTAAAAGGAAGTAACTTCACCCTGGCTGGTGTGGCTCAGGGGTTTGAGTTCTGGCCTGTGAACCAAAAGGTCACTGGTTTCATTCCCTGTCGGGGCACGTACCTGTGTTGTGGGCTAGTCCCCATTGGCGGGGTGTGAGAGGCAACTGGTTGGCGTATGGATGTTTCTTTCCTTCCCTTCCCCTGTCTAAAAATAAATATTTTTTTTTAAAGAGTAACTTCTACATAGTTTTCAGAGCTTTTCCTATGTCTGCTATTTCTTAAACATAATCAGCCTAAAATAATCTGTATGCCAAAGAGGCATATTTTGGGGTGATGAATTCTGCTGCCCTCTACATTACATAGAAAAAAGATCAATATTTTAAGAGCACACAGAGTTTATATAGTTACAAATAGTGTCCAGTTAGCTGTCTCCTTGGCATCCCAGTGATTTGCATCTTTATCTTGGATTTTCTCCAGCAGACAGACAGGCTCCAGGAGAGCCTGGGCCCCAGGACACACATGTGTATCTATCTCCTGCTCTCTGCCCAGTAGGTGAGCCATTGACCACCTCCTAAAAAGCCTCTGCCATCATCTCTCCTACTTGGGAGGATGGGGTCTTGTCCAGGAAAACTATGACTTCCGTTATCCTTTTACAAATTGGCGGGCAGTTCCCAACCCATTCCTCCTTTCTCAGTTAATCTTTATATATTGATTATTGGTTGTTTCAAAAAAAAAAAAAATACAGGGAACAGCTATCACCTATCACCCTG